CTACAAATTCTGCCATTGTGACCAGTAGACACCCCTCAGGAGAAGAACCAATATTTGCAGTCACTGTGGCTCCTCTTTGGTCAAAAACACATGGTCTGTGTTGAGGGCTTGACTCCACACCTGCAGGAACTCTCTACCAAGGTATCCCTGACTTACTGTCAACCCCAGGAAAAGAGAGGCAACTCTCACCTTGGGCACCCATCAGCGTGCTGAGGAGGAGAAAGCAGAGTCCCTGTAGAAAGAGATGTCCACTCAAAGCCATCTTGACTCCCATGTCATCAGGGTCACAGCCCACTACAAATAACCCAATGAGCAACAGGACACTGAGAGGTCCACAGCAGTGGGAGGGGACATGAAGACACGTCCCTTACATCCTCCCTTCTGAGAGCCAATAGGGATGCCTTCTCCCATCTCAGATGCTATCAGACTTCGTCTGCTGCGTTCTGAAGCTCAAACACCAATTAGATTCTGAACCTTCAATATCTCCTTATATGAGCAGCACAGTCCTCTGACGTCATGCTTCCTTAGGGCCCTGAGAATTGGCTCCCGTGATCAGGGCTGGTTCAGAAAAGCTGCATCCCAAATCTAGTGCTGCTTTATCCCAACGCTGGCTGGCAGACTGTGCAATCATTTGGGGTCAGGATGCTGTGGCCATTTGATGCCTCTGGTATAACCAGACCATCGTTCTTCCCTGTGACTGAGCTCACGGCTAAGGCAGAGAACCACAAAGAGGCTTGAAATAGGACAGTGAGCACCAGTCAGCAGACAGTGGGGACCATCGGCCTAGAATATCACATGGAGGGAATGAGGGGGAGTCAGCCAGTGGTGGTGGGGCTGTGCTTATTCTTCCCTCAGTTTCCCCTTCTCGCAGTGATCTGGAGTCTCAGGGTGTGGAGCCCAGTGGGTTCACAACAAGGGGTTTTGGCAGAATCTAACTTTTCCCTTCTCAAGGGTCTCTCTTAGCCCAGCTCACACAAGCCATGTGAGGCCACACAGACACAAAGAAGGGCTGCAGCCTGCAGCACATGGGAGACCCAATCTTTTCGTCCCAGCCCACAGTCCTGTCCTAAGACTTGTTATTGATCAGGAGCAATAAACAGCAATACTCTACCACCTCCGCACGTCCCCCCTTCCTTATTCCAGAGAGTCCCTCCACCTGCTCATTTGCTGCAGTGTAAATTTTGGCCCCTAATCCATCTCATCCTTGCTGTCTCCAATACATAAACTCATCCTCTTTTCAGTTATACTGGTGTTACTGTTGGTAAAAGATTACTGCATTCAACAGTAAACACTAAAGATGTTAGGAAGACATTTTTCATGTGAGGGAAAGAAAAAAGGAGAGAGATAATAACAATTGCTCAAAGGGTGTGAATGTTCACTGAGGTCAAATCTGGGCATTACCGGACACAGCGCATAACACACTCAACCCAGCCCATATTTGCTAAGCATCTACCCACATGTGCATATAATTGCAGCACATGGGCTCAGAATAACACCAAGACAGACACTACTCCTAAGTGTGAGGGGTTTACAGTCTAGATGCTAGTAGAAGCTGTTATGTAAATAATGAGATACCAAGTTTTCTTTGGTTTTTTTGTTTGTTTGTTTGTTTGTTTGTTTTTGCTTAACAGATGTGGGAAAGCTACAAAGGAAAATGCTGTGGGTAATTAGTAGTTATAATGTGGAAGAAACTGCAGGGAAAGTCGAACCCAGCCAGGGGAGCCTTTTATTGAGAAGGGACACTTAAGCTGACACCTGATGTATGAGGTGGAGTTTATAATGAAGGCCCATCAACCCACACCATGCCCTTCCCTATACCCTGTCACCCCTGGTAACTGCTTCCTCTGAATTTTGACATGTTGAAATTCTATTGTTTTACTTCCTACTCTTGCTTTGAACATACTTGTCCTTCAACTCATCAATGCCTCTACTCCCTTGAGTCTCTTGCTCCACTAGAGGTAGAATGCACTAAGCATTGGCCCTAACTACTAATCATCCAAGGCCAGCTGAGCCACCCCTACAGAGGAGGCCTGCAGCCTGAACCAAATAAAAGATAGAAACACCTCAGGGCAGTGGGGCAGCATCCTCTGCCCTTCCTCTCCCTCTGGCCCACAGAGACTCAGAGTGTTGACTAACACCTTCACTTCCCATAGACAGACAGAGCCCTAGCTACTCACTTCTAGGTTTCAACCATTTTCATCATATACACAGTCAGAAGAAGAAAATGATGAAGCATAATGATAAACATGAAAAGTCTTTTTATAAGTGTGTAAAAATCCCTGTCCTGGGTCCTGTTTACCCACATTAGATTGGATACATAGGGTCCCAGAATATTCTGTTTCTTATGTTACTCACCTCTGTGGAGCGCATTGCACTGGATCAAGCCCATTTCCTCAGTGGGTTGCTGCTGGTGAACGTTTATAGTCTGGTTTTCCTCTGTTGGACATTCACTTCATTCCATTTAGGACAGGAGGATTCTGTAATCCAGCCTAACTTCTCTTACAGTTCAAGATTGTATTCTTTTTTTTTTTTTTTTAGGAAAATCTCACTCTTTTGCCCCAGACTAAAGTGCCATGTCCTCAGCCTTGTTCACAACAACCTCCAACTCCTGGACTCAAGCAATCTTCCTGCCTTAGCCTCTGGAATAGCTTGGGACTAGAGGTATCCACCCCAATGCCCAGCTAATTTTTCAGTTTTTACTACAGACAGGTCTCACTCTTGCTCAGGCTGGTCTTAAACTCCTCAGCTCAAGCAATCCTCCTGCCTTGACCTCCCATAAGCAACATCAACAGGTCTTTTTTTTTTTCTTCTGAGTTAGAGCTTTGCTCTGTCACCCAGACAGGCTAGAGCACCTTGACCTCAGCCTAGCTCATAGCAACCTCAAACTCTGGAGCTCCAATGATCCTCCTGCCTCAGCCTCACAAGTAGCTGGAACCCCTGGTGCCCACCATCACACCTGGCTAATTTTTTTCTATTTTTAGTAGAATAGGGTCTTGCTTTGCTCAATCTGGTCTCTAACTGTTGGCCTCAAGTGAACCTCCCATCTCAGCATCCTAGAGTGACACGATCACAGTGCTCATGCGTGAGCAACTATGCACAGACAAGATTTAATTCATATATTTGTTTAGTCATTCACTTGACATGTATTTATTGAATACCCAGTAAATATCCAGAAATTATGCAAAGGATATAAGAATAGCTGAAATAGACACGGTCCCTATGACAAAGCTTGCCACAGAGTAGCTTGCCACAAACAAAACAAGTTCAATAAAGCAGGATCTGGTGTTCTCACAGTGGATGGGGACCTATATGAGATGAGAATGATGCCTGTGCTTATTCTTATAAGGTTGATGAATCTCACAAAGTCAGGTGGGAGAGGGTGCAGGCAGAACAGAAAATTTCCAAATGTGGCAGGAATCCTGCTCTTTTCCTGATATGAGAGGTGCAATGTGCCTAGACCACGGAGAGTGAGATGGGGTTGAGGAGAGGCATGATGGAGTAGGGCACAGACTCCGAAGAGTTGATGGTTCTCTCAACAGAGAAAGTGGCAGTTGGGATGGAGAGACATGGAGGCATCTGAGTATTAGGTCAGAGACACCAACATCAATACCTGAATCACATGAGATCCACGCTCCCCTCACCCTTGAAAGTTCCACAGCCTATGCATTTGAGGAAAGCCACAAGGGTGCCTTACCCACATCCACAAATTAGTCTGAATCACTTCACACTGTGGCAACTACCTGAGGGGATTATCTGTAGTTGCACAAATCTGCCCACAGAGATGTCAGCTCTAGTTCCTCTCCCCAACACCCACCTACGCAGTGGAGGGTCTCCTCTTGGCCTGAGGATGCTCTTGTAAACGGAAAATAATACTCTCTTTGGGGTATGAGCTCCAAGTAGGGTTGCTTGTGCCTGAGGCACTGCAATACTTAGCAGTGCTGCTCTTAACACACAGCTCTCTCTCCCTAGCCACACACCTGTCACCCAGGTGACCGGGACAGGAAGAGTCCTAGTCATAACAGTGATGAGATGAGTGTGTCCCAAGTCCTCCTGCATTCTAACTTGATACTAAGTTTCTCTTGAAAGTACACGAGCACTTGAATGTTTACTACAGCACCATTCCCCATTGCAAAGATGTGGAATCAATCCAGGTGGCCATCAATTCAAGAGTGAATTAATAAATACGGTGTATATATACACCATGGAGTACTACTCAGACAAAAATAGGATGTTGCCTGTTTCAACCATTGGTTAAATATTGAAACTGGAGAATATTCTCCTAAGTGAAGCATCTAAAGAATGGAAAAAACAAAGAGCACATATACTTGCTATTAAATTGGAACTAAGCAATGAGCGCACATGTGCACAGAGGGAAGTCAAGCTCAGTGACAATCAAACAGGAGAAAGGGGGAGGAAAGAATGGCTAAAACCTACCTAACAGGTACAATGAACACTAGTTGGATGATGGTCACACAACTGAGACTAAAGAATTACAAAAGTGATCCCTGTAACTGAAAACATTTGTACCCTTTTAATATTTTAAAATAAAAATAAATAATTGATAGATAGATATTCAGCATTCCCTTAACTAAGAATGTGAGTTCACGTTTACAAAGTTAGCCAAGCTTTATAACATTTAGATGTACATCCTGCAGAGGATCCACAGGCCAGGGAAGCAGCCTGCCCAGGCAGGCACAGTAAGTCAGGTGGCTGCTCTGGCATCGCACTGCCTTCCACCCTGGAGTGCCCTCTCACTGACTCTGGTGCACCCACTCAGAAGCTGGGTTTCCTTCACATTTTAAAAATCTGTGTTATCACCAAGCTGCACACATTTCACAGCCATGCCCTGAAAAGGCTCTTTCCCATTGGGCATACATAAGTGTTCCCGTTGGAGACTTTAAAACTGAAGTTCCCCAACAACTGGGTACCCCACCTCCAACAAACTCTTCTTTTCTTCCAAAAAAGGAGGGGTGTAAACCACTGGCAGCATTTCCAGTACATTTTCCAGCTTTCCCAATAAGCCCCTTTTCTTTCCAGGGCCCCAGGTGAGGCCATCTCAAAGCTATATCTCTATGACACTTTGCCATGGAGATGAAGAGGTGGTGTCTGGGTTAGGCCTTCAATGTCACAGTCTTTTCTTCTCTTTCATTCCAGAATCCTTCCCATGAACTTCCCAGCATTGAGGGAGGAGAGGAAAGCAAGGTGTTAAAATCAGTTATTTCATCAAATCTAAAATGCTATCAATGGCAAAATGGACCATTA